ATTGTTCAGGCTGATGCTTCGGACATTGGAATTAGGGCAGTACTCTTACAAGAACATGAAGATGGACTGTTTCCAGTAACATATATAAGTAAAAAGACTGTTAAATAGTGAGAAGAACTACTCCGTGATTGAACGAGAGTGTCTGGCAAGCAAAAAAAAAGTTACAAGACCTACTATGCCAGTACACAGATATCTTCATGGATAAACCAGGAAAGACAGACATTGTGCAACACAAGATCGAGACCACAACCAGGGATCCAGTCAAATTGAAGCCTTATCAGATGCCTTATGCAATGAGAGATTTGATAAAGCAATGTTAGGCAATGTTAAGATGAAAAGACCAAATTTTGAAGACCAAATCATTATAGTAACTCGTGTCACAATTGTAAGCGAATCACAGAGAATACTAGTGTGATAGAAAAGATAGTTCGACTTGTCAACTGAAATTCCAAAGTAATTGAATCAGCCTGAGTGCACTTTGACAAAAGGAACAGAAGATCTTCAAAAGAAAGAAGACCAATTATTAGCTTGTCAACAATAATTTATTGCTGCATTCTTTGCCATTTGGAAATTCATGAACTATCTATATGAGAAGGAGTTCATCATCCAGACAGACCATCAACCACTTGCATATATTCAAAGGTGGAAGATCAACAGTGCGAAGATCATGAGATGGGCATTGCACCATTAGAACTACAGGTTCCGCATTGATGCTATCAAAGGGACTGCAAATTTTGGAGCAGACTTTGCGTATTGCCTAAGAACAGTATTTGTATATAGTAATAAGAAATATTGTAAATATTTTTTCCTAAAGAGGGGTTTATGTCATGATATTAAAAACTGTTTGGTTTATATATATTGGTGATTAATTTATTTTGGGAGTGAATATTTTATTATTGTTTAGTTTTTGTTAAAAGCAAATGATTGTAGGAAGTTTTGTTAATAATTCATTGATGTTGAGAATATAGAAAGTGGACAGACGATTAAGTGATAAAGATATAAATAGCGTGAGATGAGCGGTAACAGCAGATAGATAATAGCAAAAGAGAATAAAGTAGGTGTGAAGTTAACTACTATAGAAGTGATAGGCCTGATGTTAAAATAACAGTAGGAATGAAGAAAAATAATTTTATTCCATCAAAGCATGGTTCTAAAGTAATTGAATCAGCCTGAGTGCACTTTGACAAAAGGAACAGAGGATCTTCAAAAGAAAGAAGACCAAATGATCATGGTAACTCATGCACAATTGTAAGTGAATCATAGAGAATACTATTGTGATAGAAAAGATAGTTCGGCTTGTCAACTGAAATTCTAAGGTAATTGAATAGGCCTAAGTGGATATTTGACAAGAAGAAAACTACATATATAGTATTTATGATATGCCCATAATATCTATAGTATTAAAGAATTTATTATACATACGTTAATTTGTTCTTTCAGCAAAAATAAGTTAGTTTCACCAGATAATAAGCAGTGTTTTGCTGTAATTTTTTGTTTGCCACATATTCAGAGTTAGTGTAATTAATTAATTTTAAAAGTATTTGTTTGCTTTTATTGTTTAGTGGAAAATTTGTTTATAACTTAGTAGTTCATATAGCATCTTTATTGTAGTTTTATTGTTTTTCAGATTCTTCTGGCTAACTTTTTGGCACAAACAGAAGCTCTGATGAGGGGAAAGACCAAGGAAGAAGCTGAGACGGAACTCACCAAGGCTGGCCTAGATGGAGAACAACTTCAGAAGATCCTTCCACACAAAGTACAGTATCAGATGTTAACATCTGTATTTTTGATTGATTATATATTAAAAGTCTGGTAGCTTAATACTAGACATGATTTGAAGCAATATATTACTCTATCTCAGATTTCATTTCAGGAAAGTTTTGGTATATTTGATATTTCAATATTAAAGTGAAAATATTCTAACTGCATTAACCATTTCCAGATGGGTCATGGGTGAAAGGCGTTTGTTGACTTGCATTCAATATTTTATTGAACTACTATTTCATGAATTTATGTCAATAAGTTTGGTATCCAACTGTAGATTATAATTCAAATTTTAGTATTATACCTTACTCAATGTCTTTATTTAAAAGTAAATATAAAAAAAACAACAGTTAAACATCAATTTTTGTGCATCACATGGTATGTTGAATGCAGCACTGGTTCAAATTAGATGTTTGTGAT